CGATGGCATCGAGGAAGCCGCGCAGGCCGCGGTTGTCGCCGGCGTAGGTGAAGACGTTGTCAAAGTAGGTCGGGACGAGGGTGGCGCCGTAGCCGAGGGTCAGGCCGGCGGTCAGGATGAAGCGGTTGCGGCGGTTGAAGGGGACACCCTTTGTGATGATTGCCATTCCGGAGACGGCCACGGCGGTGAAGAGGAAGGTCGTCATGCCGCCCAGGACGGAGGAGGGGATGGCGACGAGAGAGGCGGCGAATTTGGCGAAGATACCCATGATGATGAGCGTTAAACAACAGCAATATCCTGCGCTCCGGTTGGCGCAGCGGGTGAGGGCGATAACACCGTTGTTTTGGGCGAACTGGCTCATTTGGTAAGTTATTTACCTTTGATTTGAGAGAGAGGTGGAGGAAGGGGGGGGGGGGGGGAGCTCACGGTGGTCATAGGGGTGATGGTCATCAAACCAGCGAGGACTCCGTTGATGCCGTCGGCCAAAACACCACCCTGGATTCGGGATTCGAAGAGACGGCCCTCGACTTCTAGTCTCGAGACATCGCAAGTGGCTGTGATATCTCCGATGGCTTCACAGGCGCAGATGATGTAAACCGCAAGGAGAGGTCTGGAAGATGGTAAGCTAGGGCTTCCAGGGGCCAAATGAGAAGATGGGCGCTCACAGTATTAGAGGCCCATACAGGCTTAGCTTAAAGGTGTGAACCCAGATGAAGGAGGCGGCAGGGGCGCTGTCGATGCCAGATCGGTCAAAGTATCCCGTCGCGGCTGCAATAATGCATCCTGGTAGGGGTTTAGTAACGGCTTGGGCCATGGTTTGGGTACAGCAACTCACCAACAAGGAGCCCAATAATGACCGAAGTGGACTTCATGATAGGGGCACCGAATCTCTCGCAGAGAATAATCGTGAGGAACACAGAGAAGCCCAACCCAAGGTACTCGGCGGAGCCCCAGGGCAGAGCATGCGGCGCCGAGATGTTGGGGCACTTTGCGAAGAACGCAGACGCAGTCGACGGACTGGCGCAAGGCCCTGAGCCACCCATCCAGTTCTGGAAACCGCTCTCGACGAGGTGAATACCGATGAGCATGACTAAAAGACAGTCAGGCTTGGGTCTTGACGGCGCTTGAAGTTTTAAACCTACCAGTGGGGCCAGTGACTATGGGAGGGAAGATGCGAAGCATCACCTTGGACGGCATGAAGGAAATCAAGATTTCGATGAGAGCACAGAGGGCACTGGAACCGATAATGGCTTTACACACAAAGTCAGCGTTTGAGTGCATGCAGCACTCTGGCGGAAAGACTCACCTCCGTATCCATCGGGGCACGGAAGCTTGTTGCCATCAGCGTCGGTAGGGCAGAAGCCGTTGGCATACATCTGGGTAAGAGCACCCTGCGCAACAGGAATAATGGCAAACGAGATTCCCATGACGGAGAGAAGGCCGGTGCCGATATAGTAGCTGAATCGTGTAAGTGGACAGTACAGTCACTGAATGGGAAACTCGGTCCTCTTACGGAGTCTTCAAAATGCGGAACCTGGTGATCTGGATTGCGGACAGGATTCCAGAGACGATCAAGGCAGTCGAAACTAGATATTGTTGCATCTCTCCCGACAGGTTGGCACCAGAAGCACCGCTGAGCAGAATGGGCGGCGTGATGATACCAGCCAACATGGCCAAGGCATGCTGAAAGCCCAGGAGAATGGCCAAGAGCGTGGGCATTTTGTCGTGCAGGCCGAAAAAGGGTGCGGACTGGCGCGACTTCCTCATGAAGGGCAGGTTCGGGCGGAAGAGGAACGCATAGTCGTAGTCGCCGATGAGGCCTTGCTTCGTGAAGAATCTGTTCTTGGCGCCGCGCAGACGATCTCCCACTGTGCGCTTTGGTGACGCTTCGGGCACGATTTGAGATGGACCTTGATCTTCATCCATCTTGCCGTCGTTTTCGGAGCTTGTCGCCGGAAGTCGATAAGCAGAACGAGGACGGGACGATCTTGAGGTGGTGTCAGTGAACCAAAACCTCGAGATTGGCTTGGACTGCGGAAAAAAGGCTGGTGTGGAAAAAAACCCTCGACGATATCCACGAGCAATGACACAGAGCAAGATGTGGATCTCACTTTATATGTATATCAAAATCCGACTCAGTTGCTCTGAGTGAGTGGTACGGTACCGTCAGGCAGTCTGCAATCTGCATGGGGGCGATCCTTTTAGTTGATGGTTTCGAGCAATTAGCTTCAACCGCTATCAGTGGGATAAGCCGCACGGGACGATATGAATGGCTGGCGATAGTAAAAGAATTGTGTATCCCGAAGGGCGGGCCCGTTTCTAGCGCTAGCTGAGAGCAACCCCCCGGAGACAAGACGCGGTCGGCAGCTCTCCCTTGTCGACCCCGTCCGGATCCATGTGAGTGAGATGCGGAAGAGAGCGTGGGTTGTGAATGAGTGAGCTCTCGGTTCTGCAGCTGGGGGTGGCGAGGAACAGAGCAAGATTTCTGGGGATACATGAGGTTCATGGCAACTCACGGCCGAGTTGATTGTAGATGAGATGGAACATCCAATGTACATGCTTGTTGCATGTGTTTGGGCTGTGTGTACTTGGGTTCTCATTGTCGCACGGAAGTCAGCTCCGTCATCAACCAACTACATCCCCCAAGACTCCCCCCCCCCCCCCCCCCCCCCAAAAAAAAAAAACACCACTGATCCCTGGCCGCAGCTGAGGAACTACTGCAAAGTAGAGGCTCGTAGAGTGTGGGGGAACTCCCCGGCATCGCTCCCGCGTGGCACTCCAGGAGACTACCGCCATGTTCCTCGTCCTCCCTCTCGGGCGCATCCTGCCTGGCTACGCGGACCGAGTGCTTGGAGATGCGGCGACCTGCGAAGTGAGGGAGGCATTTGTTGGAGCAACTGACTGCAGTTGTAGTGGCCGGCGGGGCCTTGCTGGGGCTCTGAAAGTCAGTGCAATGTCTCGGATGCCCCTGGACAGGTGACAGCTTAGAACTGCGTCCATCTCACCAGCCAAACTCCGTTGCTTCGAAACGGCACCAGCTTCTCCGAGATGGCCGCCGGCGACGACCTTCACCTGGAGTGAGGTGAGGTATGCGTGAGCGTTGAGAAAACTGCGCACATTAGTTTGGAATGATCCATCATGCCACGGGGAGATTTCCAAGTCGATAGTTGCTGATAAGACCCTCGACCACCCAGCAAGAAAGAGAATGCCTCCAATGCTGGCGTTCAAGCTCACCCCATTTCTCCAAGGCGTTCTGGCTTTGGCTCATCTGATACTACTTGCGACTACCATCGCGAACGCCGAAAGACCGTGGGCAGATGTTTTCCATCGCGACAGGTGATGGAAGCAATCCCAAGCCTTAGCAGCAGTCATTAGCCGATCCGATCAGAGAGATAAGACAATCCAGGGTCTAGAGCCACCCAGAAGATGCACGTCAACGCTGCGCAGAGATAAGGAATCGTCCCAAACGAGTCAAGAAGGGATCCTGGGAGATAGAGGCGCTGCCGAAGACCCCGTCCCATTGGTCCATATGCTTGCCGAGACTCGGAGATGTAGTTGTTCGGCGCGGCAGGGCGGACGGCAGTGTTGGGTTTCGTCCATTTCCCGTCACTCATGCTCTGTCTGCTGTCGGCGGTCTCCGACAGAAAGCAATTCTGACCGTCGAGGGACTCACCGCGACGATGTCATTGATGTTTGTCGGCGTGGGCGGGCCAAGATGTTCTTACTTCTTATCTCCGATGCCGCGGGAATTCCGCGGGTTCGCCGCTTACAACACACTCACGGTCACAGAAGTTCATGTTGCTGTCGAGAGCTAATTCATCTCAGGTTCTATGAAGTAGGTTCTGTATCATTACAGTCCTCCGACCGCATATCGCAGGCAACATCGAAGGATTGGATTCGCCATCCCTGGATCATCTCGCGAACGAAGAGCCTTCTGCCCGTTTCCTCACCTCCTACATCTGCACCATAATCTATCTTTTCGTCGAAGAGCCCATCCGAGGCCATGTCTTTGATCAACCCCCTCTAAACTCCTTCATTAGCGTCTGTATTCATGAACACACAGCCGTATATCCAGCCAATGTCTTAGACTCATCCAGTACCAGCAGTCACGGTTGCCATTATCGAATTACCGAATGTCGTCCCTCATCCCCCTGACCACGTCCTGCTGCGATCCGAACCTTTCTCGATGGTACTCGTTCAGCTGTTGCCGCCCAAATTCCCGAACGAGACCCAGCTGCCCCTTATGCCGCCGGTCTTTCAGACAGTTGGCTAGCTCAGCTTCCGTCCTCGACACGCATTGACACAGATTAGGAGTCCCTCCAAAAGTTTCTCGGTCTTTCGGCGTGGGGAACATTATGCTGATACGCCGAACGTCTTTCCAAACCGCACCAGCATATTCTCTCTCCCCCTGACGGCCAAGTGCCAGCTTGGCCAGGTTCCAGTCGACATCTCCGTCACGGCTCTCGAATCGTCGGGCTACGAGGTTCAGTGTGCCCCTCTTTTGTTCCATGGCGGCTATCGTGCATGATGCTCCATCCTTTCCCGACCTCCGACAGTTACATCGGTCGGGGTTGACTTCAGTGTCTTCGTCAATGTCGACCGTCACCAGCGCAAGCCTCTTGGTCTTGCGGTTTTGGGTAAAGAGGACGATCATCGGCTTCGGTGGTCGCCTGTGAACAGTTCCAGTCGTGTGCCCGCCAATACTTACGGTAACGGTATGCGTCTCGCTATTGCCTGAGCTGTTGTTCGATGGCGAGGTCGTCGTTGAAACATTGCTTGACACGCTGAAAGTTCGGTCTTGCCGGCTATTCACTGTCGAAACTGACGGTGCGATCGCGGAAGACCATGATCTAGGAAAGAAGCTGGAGGAAGGCGGGCTCGACGGCGATGTTGCTGACGGTGCCGTCGGGCTTGCAGTCGGTCTCCTCGAGTTGGATCCGCCTCCAACTGGGCGGCGTGGTATAGATATAGGTGGCCGACCACCAAAGGGGCTCATGCCGTTAACTGGTGAAAGTCTCGGTGGGCTTCTTGACAGAGATGGGGCTGCGAGCCCAGACGTATTCCACATGGAAACTGTTTCCGTAGGGCTCGTGGTAAACACGTTCGAGGAGCTGAACATGCTTCGCATGGTACTCTGTCTCGATGTCGCATCATGGGCAGTAGACGACATCGAACCTGACCTCGCGTTTTCCTTCACCGTTGCCTCATTGTTGGTTACCAGCTGGCCATCAAGCTGCTTTGGAATCCAAAACTGGACACAGGCGTCTTCGACTAGCGGTTCATCTCTACCGGAGACGACAAAGCTGACCATGGTATTGTACTGGCAGTAGTTGTCAAACGCCTTGAACCCCGTAACTGCCTGCTGAAACTTGATGATATCTTTGCGTCCCATGAAGGATAGCCTCGCGATCCGTTCGTCTTTGCGAAGGATCATCTCCAGTACGCCAGAACTAGATGGATTTGCATACAGCGGGTTGAGGATGACGGATGTGATATCGAAATCAATCGTCTCGGCTGCAACTGTAAGCGATTATCCTGGTCTACTGAGCCAGGCTTACATACCTTGACGGCGTGCGCTCCTTACTGCTCCCTGCTCCACGCCAGTGATATTGATCCTGAATCGTCTCCCGTCTGCGCCCATTCTGCGAAGAAGCTGAAGTCGTCTCTGGACGTTGGCACCGGAACCTTGGAGTGGGCTTTCCATCAAGTTAGACACATTCCAGAATGAGTGCCCCGTATGGTTCAGGCCTTACATGTCAAGGACTTGTTCCATAAGGGCATCCTTCGTCACCACATCGACAAGCTGAGGCAGTTCCTTCTCAGGCCAGATATCGAGCATGTCAGACGTCAGTCCCGCAAGGCTTGGCTTGACCAAATCGTGTCTGAACCGGCCGCATTGCGTTGAAAGGCACTGCGTCTGTTAGTACCTCCTACCAACAGTCTTGAGATTACTCAACTCACGTCCTCGAGTTCTTGGACATATGATGGCCAATGCGACACCCCAGGGACGGCCTGTTTGAGCTCAGGCGACTCGTCAATCCGCTCCTTCAACCATATGCACTTCAAAAGGCTCAGGTACTGTTCCAGGCGTGGGATCTTGTTCTCAACCAGAATACCAGCCGGCGTGAAGTTAACGGTAGAATGGTCGAAATGAACGACGAAGGCGTCCGTGATCTCTTTCAGACCGGGGGCCGGCTCGTCTGGGGACCGACTCTCCCAAGCCTTGAGCAACCCATCTTTTACCAATAGTGGGATGTCAAGGCTTTGCTCCTGTTGTTGGGCTTGCTGATCTAGGGCCACCTGTAGGTCCGGGACTAGGACCCCGATCAAGCGGTGCAAATCCCCATGAACAGCTGAGATGCGATCAACAAGATCATGGTGAACCCTGTGTATATCTTCTCGTACACGACACAGCAGATCGCTGGACTCGTTAGCGTCTTCAACTGTCAGAGGGGAACAGACGAAGCTCACATTTCGAACGGCTTCAGGACGTGAAGAACCTTGGAGTTATGCAGGGCGATTCTTGCCCGTAGGCGGTCCGCGGCTGGCGCAACCAACACATTCCACTCGATATTTCGGAGAGGACCACTATTCAGGCGATAACGGTTATTGTTGTCGATCAACTCGATGCATTCTCTGAGGGTTCCCTGGTAGTCTCCGATAATTTCCCCCAGGGACGACGGGTCCCATCGCAGTGACTTGTACGACACATCTCTGCGGAGAGACTGCTCTGCCTGGCTCACCACTCGGGTGAGAATATCGAGGCTCTCAGCCAGTCCCCTGACGTCGCGGCCGAACTCCTCATATTGCTTGGCTGAGATGCTGTTAGCTTGTGTCGCCGTCTGCAGTTTTGGAATTCTTAGAGCCTCAAGTCAGCCCTACGGCCACGCTTGCTGGGCGGAGGGCTGAGATGGCGCTCTCAATCAAATGAAGCACAGGCCGATCAGCCATTAGTAGGCTTATTTTGAGGTTGATGTACCCGAAACAATCCTGACGTATGGCGAACATACAGATGCGGACAAGAGCAGGAAATGCGCGAAAGAGCATCGACGGAAAATGGATCGAGGAACATACTTGCGTTGTAGTCGTTGTCCCATCCAAATCTGTAGACGTCCCAACAAACTTTACTCAGATTAACAATGTCCCCGATCTGAAGAGGCCCTGCCATTGGGGGAGAGTCAGAAAAGAGATGATGAAATCGGTCTGTTTAACACGCCTTATTGAGATTGGCATTTGACGTGCGATGTTGTCAACAGGGCGTGAGCGAAGTTGAAAGCGACGACAAATAGAAACCTCAAAAGTGGACTCCGCGTCAACGGTCGCAAAGCAGATCGGGAGACAACGTGGGATTTTTGAATGACAGCCTGGCCCCAGGGCGGGAGCACACGACCAGACCTCGAGGGGCGCCACCGGTTCGCTGGGACTATGCGACAAAACGGTGGGTGTGGCCGCCACGAGGGACACAATGTTGGCAGTTTGCGACCAGGAATTGGTTCTCGGGACTGGACGAGGGGGTAAGAACTCTGGCTGGGTCACCGAATGAGATGGGAGGGGGGGAAAGGAACGAGATGAGAGTGAGGCTGGAGGATTGGGTCATCTTGTTTGCTTGCCCACTTGGACGGAAATCGAGTGTGTCTGGCGGGCTGGACAGTTCGAATTTGATACCGAGAGACGGAATGGTGTGGGAAGCAGTGCAGGCAGCAGCAGGGGAACGAGACATCTCATGCTGGCTGGCTGCGTCTCCTTCAGCGACCTATCACGCCCGGCTTGGCTTGCTTGATTGCAAACTTGGTGGGAGGTCAAGCGGCAGAGGGCACCATTCTGAGCGGTCCCCGGTAGTGAGCGCCAGGTTTAGAGGTTGTCTTCCAGGCTTGGCAGGCCGAGGTTCTCTGCCTTTGCGAAGAGGGTGGTTTTGGGGACTTCATGAGTTTCGCCCGAGAACATGTTGAGTTGGTTGAAGCTGTAAATGCGCTCAAAGTCCAGCTTGAGCGACCCATGTTGCCAACGCAGCTTTGGGCGCCTGCTCATAAGGCAGCCAGGGATGAAGACAAGCGTTCTCTTAGCGCTCAATCAGTGAAGGGTAGCTGGTAGATTGTCACGCGGTCTCAGTTACCCGAGACACCCTTACGAAGGCATCCAATCCCATCTGACCTGCGTTGATAGCTTGTCACCCTCCTTTCCCGTGGTATGCGAGTGTGCGGCGTAAGATTGCTAGCTTGAGATAAGGTACAGAGACGGGATGAGCTTGTGTCATACCTAATATTCAGGACGAATTGACGCGATACAGGGCTATTTGCTTTAACTCAATAGGTATGTACAAGGGTTGCAAACTTGCCTTCCACGGGCTAAGTTTTCTTGTATGCAAATGTTGACGAATGACAACTTCCGCAAAAGTGATTATGGGTAGATGTCCAAACAGATGAACAATCGCGTAAACCGAACGAAATGTAGACGGCAACATGATGGCAAGGAACAGAACACAGAGCGGGGACAATCGCTTCGTAAGCTGTGTTGATACATATGTCTTCTTAGAAGCAGCGCATGCAAGGTTGTATCTGCATATTGCCAAGGGTTCGCCGATCTGCACTCAACTCGGTCACGAAAGAGCTGGTGGCGGTGGCAGTGAGCTGCCAGAGCTCTCCCCTCAATTCCGCTCTCACGCTCCAACCTGGGGTAGGATACGGACGGGGTGTCACCACCAGTCTACCGGTGCTTCTTCCTATTCGCGCTCGCTTCGGCAGGCCTATCAACTTCTCGTTCACTGAGACCCTGCCAGACCATCAACAGATCGAGCTCAGCTCTGCATCTGCTTACCGAAACTAGAGCCTCGGCAGCGCGGTTTGAATCCCAAAAAGCGCGCAAACATGTTCCCGCACCAAGCGCACCTAGACTGCCCTTGTCCCATGCACCATAATCGGGCAATTTTCACTCCGCGAGGCAGATTTCAAGACGAGGCTGCCGGGGACTGAGTGACTCTTTGAACGCCCTTCCTGATGTAGCGGCTTTCCTGGGCATGCATGCATGCGGCTGCCACATCCTTGGCCGAGTCTGCCCTGCCTTCAGTGCCATTCTGTTTGCTTTTGGTGCGCGACCCAGCCATCGAGCTGCTCCCTGGTCACGCCTGACCTGTATGCCAGCTCGTCACACAGGCTCTCGTAGATAGAGATAGGCCATACTTAACATCGGGGCCACCCCTTGTAGCCTGCTTTGCCATGTACCATTATGGCGCAGACCTCGAGACTCCCCCATCTTGGAGCTGCTGCGAGTCTCCGATATCTCTGAGTCGCCTTGTTGGCTTGCCAGACTCCCGAAGATGAATGACTTCCAAAGCTCAGAGGGCATCTTCCAGGAGCCTCGTCACGTCGACGACAACTCGAGCGAAGATGATGCTGCTGGGGTAATAACGGGTATCACTGGCGGGGATGGTCAAGGCATCGTCACCCATGCACCCAAGGAAGGATTTCGCCTTGGATACCTTGATGTATGCTGTCTGGTCATCAACCGCATGATAGGTGCGTCAAACTGTCTCTGTCGCTTAGGGAACATCTGTTAATGCCGTAATACAGGCACGGGAATATTCATGTCTCCGAAAAGAGTCATGAAAGGTACTGGAAGTGTCGGCGCGACCTTACTGTTCTGGCTAGCTGGTGTAGTCTACTGCCTTTGCGGTACCCACGTCTACATCGAGTATGGCCTCAACGTCCCTCGTTATAGAGTTCAAGGAGTTGAGCAGTCCATCCCTCGAAGTGGTAAGAATAATTGCAGCTTCAGGCCTAGCATCAATGCTAACCGATCTCCATAGGCGGAGACATGGTGTACCTGCAATATGTCTTCTCGAAGCCCGCCTATCGCAAAAACACTATCCTACTGTCGACTTGCATCTTTGGCATCACGTTCATCGTACTCGGAAACATGGCCGGCAACAGTCTTCACTTCGCCTTTCGAGTCCTCGAGGCCGCTGGTCACTCAGACCCTGAGAACGGCCCCGTCAGGGGCATCGCTCTCGCCGTTGCCGTCTTCGCCTGCTTCATCCATGCCACAAGCAGAAGATTCGGAATCATGCTGAACAACTTCCTGGCGGTAATCAAGATCATGATCATGCTACTGATCATCGTCGCGGCCATCGTGGTGGGTGCGGGCGGGCTTCCCAAAACACAAAACGTAATCGAGCAAAATACGTCGCCAAAGACTTCGTTCGCGGGCGCAACTAAAGACGCGAACGGATACGCTCAGGCATTTCTTGCCATCATTTTCACATTTTCGGGATTCGAGCAGCCAAACTATGTCCTAGGAGAGATCAGCCGTCCTCGAAAGAAGTTTCCTATCGGGATGGCGAGTGGTGTAGGACTCGTTGCTGTTTTATACCTGGCTGTCAACATCTGCTATGTAAGTGCCTCCAACCAATGTAGCTTCTAGGAGTGACTTACAGATAATCAGATGGTCGTTGTGCCTGCCGATGTTCAGAAGAATGAGGCCAATGTTGCCCAAGAGTTCTTCAGGCTCACCTTCGGCCAATTGAACCCAGACAGCGATATTGGGTCGCGGATCTTCAATGCTTTCCTGGCGATCTCTTCCATGGGCAATATCATCGTCATGGTATGTCATGGCTAAAGAACTGAAAACCACCACTGTGGGAACTGACATCATACCAGACCTATACGGCAGCTAGAGTGAAGCAAGAGATTGCGAAAGAGGTGAGAAGATTTCCTCCGCACAGATGACGCCTGTGTCCTCCATTGTCACAATCATCTGAATAGTTCAGGCTCTTCACATGGAGTCTTTTCTGCCCCTTGGTTGTTTTCGGTCACTCTGCTCACCCCCTTTTTTGTATCCGAAACCTGGACAAGGCACTGACTGTCCATACAGGGAATCCTTCCTTTCCCGAAGTTCTTCGCGCAAAACAAGGACATGAGCCTTGGGAGACTCTTGTTTTGGTTTCAAAGGAAAGGATGGTTCAAATCACTCCTTAAACTCCGTTGGATGTCGCCGGAGCATCATTCTGAAAAGACACCAGTTGGTGCTTTGGTTCTTCACCTCGTCAGCTGTGTCATCCTCATATTTGCCACCTACGGCAGGCCACCTGTAGTGGCATACACAGCACTCACGTCTCTAAGTGCTTATGTGGTCAACGCATTCATCGGAACATTCCTGGGTCTCGGCATTCTCATCCTACGCTTCCGCGGCCCTCCTACGACAGCTACTGACGATGATGCCACCGACGATGACCCATCTAAGTCCCCGACAACTTGGGCTGAGATGACTGGCAAGAAGATCCGTCCCTTTTTATCAGTCTTCTGTGCCATTGTGTATATGTGTGGAGGTCTCTATCCCGTGATCACCAACTGGGTACCGCCGTCACAGTACTCAGACCTGACCGTGACGCCATGGTGGCTTGTGCCCACCGTTGGGTGGATAATCATCAGTCTTGGCGTTGCCTGGTTCATCGGCTTCATCTTGGTGGCCCGTTACATTGAGAAGAAAGATCACCGTGTCTTTGTGGTAGAGAAGAAGCCGGAGTTCGAGGCAGCTGATGGCAGCAGCCGGAGCTCCGAAGCTGGCCATACAGGGGCCGATCTAATCCAAGTCCATGAAACGGTTTACCTCAGCTGGGTTGGAAAAGAGGCTCTTCGACAAAGGCGGCCGGTCTTTGACGACTCGAAAGAAGCTGAAGGTCATGTCACAGAGGTGCCGGCGTCTCCATACGTCAACACGGACTTTGCCGCATACATGTCAAGTCAGGGTACTGAAACAGGAAGGACATATTCGAGATACTAAAAGAAGCACTGGTGTATTACCCGGCTGTTTGCCGACTTTGGGCGATCAGGGCGTTCGTAGGGCACGGCTGTGGCTTGACTTGCCTGGGGTAACCTATTATGATCATGAATATTTTACTGTTTTATTACTCGTGTACGTAGTGGTATCTGGGCGGACATTTAAATGCAAAGCCTATCCCGCGTCGTGACCTTCCTATCTCATAACACCCATTAAATGATCATGGCTCTTGCTCGACAATGTTGTTGAGACGTGGCCCAAGTTGTGCAAGGGCTGAACGATCTTGTCCGTCAGGCTCGTAAGATCGGAAGACCTCTCCACGCATAAGTCTGCGCGGTGCTCGCCTCCCTGTAAAGAGCTCGAACTGGGCGAAGCCCTGCTCCGGAAGTAGGTCCA